CCGGCAATTTCGTTCAACGGCAAGGACTACGTAGAATCACACGACCAATCAGGGGTGGTGTACGCAATTCCGTGCCTAGACTGTGACCGTTACGTGGGAGAGACAGGCAAACAACTGTGCACTCGCCCACACGAACACACACTTGCACTGCTACGCGCCGACCAGAAGTCACACCTCTGGAACCACAGCACAACGACAGGTTACGAGGTCAGAATCAATGACACAAAAGCAGTGGCAACGGCAAAGAGGAAGGGGGAACGTCTGATCCTTGAAACGCTACTTTCGACCAACTCATTCAATCGAAACGTGGAAATCGATGTACATTAAGCAACGATTGTACAACCACGCAGGAACGTGGGATTGATGGACAAACAGGAGCGACGCAAACCACAGTCCGAGGCACAAGCAGACCCAGTTTATTCACAAGTATTACCGTTTGACAACGAGTCATGGTTTGGATCGAAACGCCACAATAAAAACTATCACTCGGGGACCGCCTTCTTCTTTTTAATATATATATATATATTCAATAACACAACGTTATCCACGAGTAGGTGATCAATCGACATTTTTTCTGAAGTCCTCAGTATGGTCGGAGTGGGTGTCTAGGGTTGTGATTGGTCACCTTACCCTTGCACCTCGCGAAATGCTCCCATGCAACCAAGCGTCTCGAATAGCCTCTGCTGAGGAAGTCCTACTCAATGCCTTCTCATGGCAGTGTTTAGCTCCAAATTGAGAGAAAGAAAAGTCGACCTCCGGGGCTATAACCGGGTTGGTGGACCNNGGTCAAAAACCCTCATTCTAAACCAACCACGAGGAGGCATACGAACCACATCCAACTTCCGATTGTGGCAACGGTCACGGGTTGGATAGGACATCGAGGTATATTGGGCACCTTGGACGTTTGACACCATCCAGAAGGCNCGTATGTGATCCAATGAACTGGACACCGGCTCCCGATGGATTGCGATTTTAGCCCACCGCCCCGCTGGCTTGCGTGTCAGGCTTTGGCTAACCGAGAGATCGGATTATGGATTCCTCAAGAAAGTTCACCTGCCTTGGCCTGGACAACCTGGTAGTACTCGGCCCACGTGCAAATCGTGGAATGTTTTTCTTTTCATAAAGATTATTGTACCGCGATTTGTTCGGCAGTCTGAACTCAAACTTGTGTGAAATATAATAATAATATATGTGTAAAAGCAAATCAGAATTGACATTTTAACAGTTGGATGGACTCCTGTAGATAATTGCTTCATATCGATTATCAACAGAAATGATTCTCACTTGCAGAAACTAGCATCCATCGACTTGAGGGAATCAAAAACGCGGATCAGCCGAAATGAAATTGAGCGCATCCATCAAATGGAAAAATACGCATTGCACGCATGCATGTGAAGTGATCTCAGAAAACTTTGTGTGGGGAGGGAGGAGCTGTTTGAATTTCACCAAACTTTGCCGACGTAACGCTGACACGATCTAATCAGAACAGTTCGCTTCAGTATTCAATTCCACCACCTAGCGTCAACCTCATCCTCTTTCCCGACCGATCGGGGTTAACGTGCGTTACTTTAAGACAAGAATTGGACAGGAAGTAAAAACATGAATGAATATCTTACATTTGCGCGACCTCGTTAGAAAACTGATTAACACATTCAAAAAAGGTGAACTTCAATAGAGAGATGGTGAGGCAAGGATGAAAAAAATGAGGCGTTCAATTAACACAGCCAGACTGTTGATCTATTAAGTAGCATATAACAACGCATGAGTAAGTCTGTTACTATCAGACCCAGCGAAAAAACAAACTTTGGAGCTATTCACCACAACAGCGAGGCCTAAAATAGTTCGTAAAACACTAATTGGCTCATAGCGTTATTAGTGAATGGATAATCATTATCAATACGCATATGCCCGCTTCTTTTTACGTCAGCGATTGGGGAGATTGAACAAAATGTAAATATTCCGCGACTGTAGTCTCTTTCCGGTATCACAAAGTAAGTAACTATGGTCTCCATGACCATTGAAGATATGGGATAGATAGTGACGAGGTAGTAAGGGGTTTTTGTAGCCTGAAGATAAGTTTCGTTGGAAAACCAATAAATTCGCCGTTAGCTTTTTCAGGTGGGTAGGATAAATGTGATAAATGAAGAATGTTGAGCGCGGTCTAACAACTGAGCCTCTGAAAGCCTGAGTATGGTTGGGGTGCGGTTGGTCACCCTATCATCACATCACCACATCATGAAATACTCCAAGTAGCTTCTGCTGACGAAGTCCTACTCACTGCCTTCTCGTAGCGGTGTGTTTGCACCAAAATGAGAAAAGCCAACACTGGATGCTATAGCCGGGTCGATAAGTCACTGGCAGTTGGGAGTTGGCTAAAAAAAAACCTGATTATAAACCAACCACCCACAACTACCTGGTTGTGGCAGTGGTCACCAGCGCAATCGATGAACATTACAAATCAAAGCGAGACAGAAAGAAGAATCTCACAACATAGAACGAAGTTATACCAGAGAATGACCATAACAGATAATTTACGGGCCGAAAATAAATACCAGTAGCGGGAAGCTCTGATGCACTTGAGCGGGTGAATCTTCAGTGGATACATAATGAATCAGCTACGAGTGAGACAGCGTTTTTGTTAAATGAACAAGTGAGTGAGGTCGCGGATGTGATAGATCGTATGAGAGATTTAAAAAACTTTGAATTTGCCTCTTATGTGTCGATAGTGTGCACTGAATGTATTATCAAATGAGTGAATAATTCTGAAAGATTCATTAGAAAAACAGAGATGTGGCGAACAAGCTTGTTTTTAGGGCTTTAACTACTGACCAATTACAGCACATTATATAATTCAAGGAAATAACACGGCGAGACAGTCAAAGGGTTCTGTTATTTTGCGAAATGGAAGTTGAGGAGTTGGGAGGGAGATATTTCAACACTGACCGCATAATTGATGATAATCCTTTGTGTGGTGCGAATAATGCGAGGGAAAGGGATATAACGAACTGTTTGTGTGGACATAATGGGGTTTTTGTTTATTCTAATCGCTATCGCATCTGCTGTAGATAACAATCAAGCTTTAACATTCTTAGACCGGATCGCTAGTAAAGAATAGATTGGACGTAAGGATTCCCGCATATCCACGGTGTGATTCGTCTCGGCCAGACGTATAACAAACGAACTCGCACCTGCCCTTAT